AATTCGGAAATCTGAATTTCGGAAGTCGGAATGAAAAAAGTTGTTCCAAAATCGGAACTTTTCGGATCGGAATCGGCGGAAATTGGAAATTCCGTTCCAACTTGCACCCCTAATCATAGCTTTAAAAAATATTTTTCTTTTAATTTTTTCTTTAAAAAATATATATATATTTTTTTAATTTCAGTTTTTTTGTTCGGAATCAACTAAAAAGATTCTGAAACTAACTATAATATTTCAGAAATCAACTATAATTTGAATTTTTTATTTCATTTTTCTTAATTTTAATTTCAGTTATTTTTGACATTTTTTTTTCCAGAAAACAACTATTTTTTTTGCCAAACAACTATAAATTGTAAAAAAAAAAAACTATTAGAAAACAACTATTTTTTTTCAACTGTTCGTTTTTTTCGCCATAATCAACTATTAGAAAACTTTAAAACAACTATATAAAAAACAGTGATTTTCAAATAACAAATTTACAAAAAATAAAAACAACTACAAATGAACGAAATCTATAAAAGAAATGGTAATCAACTATAAATTGTATAAATCAGCACAGAATATCGAAAACAATTATAAAACTATTCGAAAACTACTGTAAAGTTATCGACAATAATTACAAAAAAAATAAAAATAGCAAAACCCGAAATCAACTACAAAGTAACGGAAACAAGTATATCGTTGTAAAAACTAGGTGGGAAAGACAAATTAAATCAAACCAAATTAATCTAAATGAAACTCATAACAGTAAATGCGATCAATCTTCACGAAATGAGATGTTTTCAACTATTTTTTTAATATATTAGATCCGGACCCCATATCTACTCATATAAAATTATCAATACATTAATTGATTTGTTGAGAATTCGTCCAAGTTGGATCTTGAAAATATGAGATGCAAATTATTTTACAGCCTGTGTTCCACATTGACGGCTGCAAATCTACTCTGAGCGGCGGTGTGCGCGGAGGTGGAGGGGACAAATAGCAGTGGCGGTGGCGGTGGCGGTGACGTCGGCTTCGACTGGGTTAACGCTAAAAATAAAAGAAAAAAAGAAAATATGAAAAAAAGGGTTTATTAGGGATAACCCCCTTGTTCATATTTTCTAATGAGGTATATCCAATTAATTTTTCCCTTTTTGAGATACACCCAAATTTGCCAACTTGGCAAAATATATTATATAATTTCCCTTTAATACCCCTGTTTTATTTTTGAACGGCATTTATTTCCTTAACTACGTGATATGAGATTTGCTGATACGTGATTCTAAAATCACGGAATAAATTTACGTGAGATCATTGGCCGTTCTATCAAATCGCGTCTATCAAATTGTGTACAATTTTTTTTTTTGAAGATTTATCCAGCGTTCCATCGTTTTAATCGCCTTTGAAGATTTCTTCACCGTCAAGCGGGTATGAATGCGTCTTTTTTCGCTTTTATTTTCGCTGTATGTACAGGATTGTTGTGTACGGTGGTTAGACATTTTTAAGAGTTGCGTTGATACTTGATTCTATTAAGTAGAACGTTTTTTAACAAAATTACGTCGTCATATATACATTGTTATTTTTGGCGGATGATGTTTGTTTGGAAGAGGATTGACAGAGTTAGAAGAGGATGGTTCACGCAGATCGGACCAGAGTTGTTTTATATGAGCTTCGTAGTTGGTTTATGCAATAATCGGAATAATTGTCCGCTGTGGTCGAGTTCATGTTTTTTATCCCGATCGATAGTTGGTTTATTTGTTTATAACAGCCGATTTAAGTGTGTTGGGTAGTACATTAAAATATAGTTTGTAGTCTTTTTTAATTTAGCGTATGGATTTTGCATTTTAAGTTTATTTTTGATGATATTAATGTATTGTCATTCAAATGTATTTGCAGTATATTTAATCATTTTTTAGTATTCTGCATTTTTAATTTTGTTTCATGATTTTAGGTTTTTTCGATGGCGAATTCCGTACGGATTTTGTTGAGGTTTGGTGGGTTGGTTGCTATAAAGAGGTGTTTACGATGTAATGGCTCGGTAACTTCGGTTAAGTGTTAAACCGTTGTAATACAGTAGTATACTATTATGAATACCGTATGATACTACCATTATCATTTTATTATACTATTATGAGATTATTAATGTACTAGAGTTTTTTAACTCGACATATTGGTTTGATTGTGTTATGATGTGTTTTATGTATTTTATCAAAACCCTACATTGAAATTATGAGATTATTAATGTATTATTTTATTGGTTATGTTGGAATACTTTACGTTGGTGTTGTTCTCAATGTTCTTGTCATTTCAGTGGTATATTGTTTGTAACACAATTTTATATCACTACTATAACCGTAATATACTATCATAGCAGATTAATGTACTATATTGAAATTATTAATATACTATGTGGTTGAATAATACGGGATCCATAGGCGATTAACGAGATCCATAGTCGAATTAGATCAATAAGATAGTCTATTACACGATATAAGGAAAATTACCTTAATTGATTAGTTAAACAAACATATTATTCAGTTTCCATATATATTATTATTTTTTCATATATATTATTATTTACCCTAATCGTTTTCATATAATAAGGAAAGTTATCCTAATTGATTAGTATTTCAAACAAACATATTATTCAGTTTCCATATATATTATTATTTTTCCAATAGTCAATTAACTAAACCCATAGTCGAATTAGATACATGGGATAGTCTATTAAAAGATATGAGATAGTCTATTAATTTTAAAACACAAATCCGCCGCCGTCACTTCTCAAATCTAGGGTTTTGATGATTTTTCGGCCCATAGTCGATTAACGAGATCCATAGTAAAATTATACCAGTGGGATAGTCTATTAAATGATATGGGATAGTATATTAATACAGATGTAATTCGACTATGCATCTCGTTAATCAACTATGGGCCGAAGAATTATCAAAACCCTAGATTTGAGTAATCCTAGATTTGAGTAACCCTAGATTGGAGCAGTGACGGCGACGGCGACGGCGGCCAACGATGATATCACTTCTGGTGGATGTCCTGCCCATCAATTGTTGCAATATTACTGATTTAGTGCTCGAATTTGGTATGCGATTATAACAGATCTGCAATTACACAAACGTGATAGTCGATTTAGCCAAAACATATCAACAAATCGATGGATGATAGCGATTCAGCGAGTGGCGACGACGTACCTACGGAGGCTTGGTCGGAGTGCAGAAAAATCGCCGATCCACGGCCGTGCAAATTTCTGGTTTTGGGAGGTTTTGCAATTTTTTTGATAGTGGGTTTGTGGTGATAGTGTTTTAACGGGAAAATAGGGAGAGATTTGATATTATTTCAAATGGTAAAGTAACGGGATTTGTGGAATTTGATTGAGGGTAATTATGTAATTTAGAAAAGTTTGGGTTTTTATCAAAATGGCAAATTTAATTTTGGGTCTACCCCTATTATTTGAATGTTTAAGGGGGTTATATCTAATAGACCCAAAAAAAATGCAGGGGATAGTGGAGGAAGATGAGATCTGTAAATACCATGGTGCCGACCTTGACGAAGTGGGGCGGCGTTGGCTGAGCGGCGGCGGCGCGGAGGTGGAGAGGCGAAATCTATGGAAAAAAGAGAAAATAGAAGAAGAGACGATAAATTTATGAGGTTAGGGTTTTAGGTGGAAAAAATAAGTTATATATTATTTATGGAAGGGTAAATTAGAGAGATTAGTTTAAATTTTAATAAATATATATTTAATTAACTAATTAAGAGGTCTCACTAATATTGAAAACTGAAATGCTAAATCTCACACGAATTTTACCATATTCTGCACACAATTTAAATTATTTCTCCTTCTCTACCTTTCTTCTTTTTCCCTAATTTTTTTCACAAAATCACACACTAAAAACGTTCCTAGCATTCCAAGTTCGAATTTGAGAAAAATCTTCACGTGTCCAAACTAAAATAAAGTTGGAATTTGAGAAAAAAAAATCGAATTTATATGAATTTGAATAATTAAAAAGGCTTAATGAAATTGAATAAATAATAATGATTATTCACGTAAAAAATTAATGAATTTTGGGTGAATATGATAAAATTATCTTAGACAGAAGTTAGAAAGAATATAAATATAGAAATTTTTTTTTTTAATTTATGTGTGGAATTTAGTAAATTATAGTGTGGGATTTATCACGCAAGTTATATCCACCTTAATATAAGTAAATGAGTTATGAGTTTTTCACTAATTATCCCTAAAAATGATGGATGAGAAAGAGTCAGTGTGAATCTCTTGAATAATTAACCCTATCATTATGTACAAAATCGACACTCATTGATTTAAACAAATAACGGTCCGTGAAATAAAAAAAATCAAACTTAGTCGTAGATTAAATTGATAAAACCGGGGACGAGGTCATTGATTTTACGAGGAGTCACTCGTAGTGACACGTAATCATAAATAAGAAATAAAATTCAACTAGTCCATTTTTGAAATATTTCCAGTCAAAAAAATTGTCCTAATTGAAAAGAGGCAATAAATACTTTCTATTAACCAGAAGGAAGTCAGCTTTTTGGCCTTTCTACTTTTCTTTTTCTTTTGGTTTTTTGCAGTGGTGGGGACTGTCATGTTACTGTCGCTCCTATTTTTTTTCTTTCACTCTCTCCTCTCTCTCTCTCAGTGCTAAAAATTAAAAAAATACTAGGTCCAAAGTTACTGTTAACATTTGAAAAATAAAACAAAAAGAAAAGAAAATGGGCTATTCGATGTGGCGAAAGGCTAACTCTGTGATTTGATTTTCAAGTGGTTATCAGGTGTTCCCGAAACCCAAGAATGAATGAATCTCAACACCCCTCTTCTGAATCTATCACATGCCCCACTGCTCTAACTCCATTCTCTCTCTCTCTCTCTCTCTCTCTCTCTCTATATATATATATATATATATATATATATATTTTCTTCTTCTTTTTAATACAATATATACGCCAAACACAAACAGACGCAGTACATGCATATTGTGTACTTGGATGCGAATAAATTATAATCATATAATATGACCCAAAATATCATATTACCAATTGGCAAGGTTCTTTAGTGAATAAAATCAGGTAGCTGCCTAATTAACAATCGTGTAATTAAGTCGGCACATGTAAAAACAAAATCACCAACCAATACACTTGATAATAACAAAGAAGAATAGCTCACTCAGCCAAGTTTAAAAAATAGATGGCATATGAACTCTCTCATTCAGTCAACAAAACCTCTTCTTCTTTCTCCATTGTCCAAACAAAATCAGGCGTGTCAACTCTCTGCCCACCAACTGTTCGATAAATGTAAAGTTTCTCAACAGGGCAGCTTTCAGGCCTCGAACCAGGGTGACCTCTCTCGTCTATAACCTCAACGTTAAGCCCGGGCAGCTTCTTCCCGAGTAATTTACAAGCTCCAAAACTGACCGAGCAAGATGACATCCAAAGGGATCGCATTGTTTCCAGCTTTGCAGCATTCGCCAACAGAGCTTTGTCCCCAAACGGGCAGTCCCTAATCTCCAGCTTCCTCAAGCTCTCACACCCAGACAAAACGTGATGTAAGCCCAAGTCACTGTCCCCTGCGAAAGCTATAGAAAGCATCTCCAATTTCTTGGCGTGGGTCCCGATATATTCGAAAACCCTATCGGTGAGTAGGCCAGAGAGAGAAAGTCGCCGTAGTTCTTTACAGTTCTCTACAATGGCTCCAAAGCCAGTATCGAGCGGTCCTAGTGTCAAGTAATCTGGAGCATGAGGCTCGATTATACATAATCTGAATCGGATTAAATTCGGACGATTCTTTGCAATGGTAATCAATGCAGCATTTGACATCTGGTGGCAGAAGTATAGAACAGACTGGAGTTTAGGACAACCTTCCGAGACAGAGACGAGACCCTTTTCTGTTAAGGACACGTTTGGCTCTGCTCCAAAAGGGTCTGAAGGAAATACCCGAAGTTCTTGCAGGTCCTTGCAAGATAGGGAAAGTGCTTCCAGACCGGTATCTTCGATGTAATCAAGAACCTGTATAAAAACAAACATAACATATTATTAGACTACAAATTCAGAATTATCAATACCATTATTAAAAGCAATTTGCACATACATACCCATAGACGCTGCAAATTTATACACTGGCTGACAAGCTTGCCAAGATCAGGGCTTTGAACTATGGCGTAACTCAAGTTCAGTGAAGTGATACCAGAGCAAACGGGATACATGGCAGGGAGGTAAGCTGGAACAACATCCCAAAAGCCGGACAAGGCTCTGAGTTTCTTACAGGCCAAAAATGCCTCTGTTAAGTTTGAGAATATATCGGATCGGATTTCGGCTGAACAGGCACCGGTACCTAATTCAACCAACTGTGGGGCCCGCTGGAGTAGATTGGGGAGCTTATCGAGTGGTACAGCGCGGTTCAGACGGAGAGTCCGCAGATTAGGGCAACGTGTAACTAGGCGCTCCAAGGCTGAGAAACTCACTTCCGAGCCTAAGCAAGATATGTTAAGGGAAACCAGTGAAGTGCAATTGTCAGGGAAATGGCTTAGCCAGTGTCCACTTAGGTCTTCCACTTCGCTCTCCCTCAAATCTAGTTCTCTCAGATTCCTGTATACCCGAGAATATCTGACTTAAATATTGTGTACCAATTACAAAATTGTACATGGGCACTTCGGAAGAACAACGGATAAAAAACAAAAAAAAGAAAATAAAGAAATGATGTTCTTAAATTATCATACTCATGTGAGGCTGGAAAGAATATCCACTAAAGAATAATACAGGTCACAGTAATATTCCAAGGACAATCAACAAAGAATTGGAATCTGACATGCTAATCAAAATGGTTGCTCCGTCCACTGAAACAAATTCATTTTACGAGAATAATAAACTCATAATTAAGAGCTGTAATCAACTAATTAATACTACATTTAGCCCTAGAGGATCACTCTACCAGTAAATCAAGGAATAAAAATGCAATATGCGCTCCGAAAGTGAAGGATAAGTTGTAAGTTTAAGAAGAAAACGGATCGAAAATACAAAATCTATTTCATTCACTAAATTCATTTGTATCATTCTCAATTTACCACTAGAAATTAAATAGTCACAACCAGCAGAACAAAAGATGATTATAAGTTCATTAGCGGAATAAAACAAATCCATTAAAGAAACGAAAAAATGAGAGAGTGTAGCAAGCAAGCAAGCAAGCAAAGCAACCTAACCTGCAATTAGCAGCAATAGAAGCGAGACCATGAGTAGTAAAGCCCTCGCAAGAAGTGAGCACCAAAACTTTGAAATTGTTAAAAGATCTGGAAATGAGGTCGAGACACTCATCCGTTACCACCATCCTCTTCAGCTTCATCTCCTCCAGCAATGGATAAGCTCCCGACATTACCCTAATCCAAGGCTTCACATACCCACCCCACCCTTCCGGCACCAGGTTGAAATCCGCAAAATGCGGCTTCCCCTTTATCTCCACCTCTCTCACCTCCGGAAACCGCCGGGTCACCATTTCCGCCGATACCGAGTAGCAGTTTCCGATGAATATACGGCGCCGACACCACCGCTCGATCTCGTACCACGACTTGCACACCGATGAAACGCTGTTTCGATCCCTGTCGGAGCTCAGGAACGAGAACACGTGCTCCAGGACCTCCTCCGGGATCAACGAGTACGCCATGGGAGAAACCAAAATGGTGGTTTTACAGTTTATCTGGATCTCGGGAATTATTTATTTTGTACACACAGAGATGAAAAGGGAGTGAGTGAGTGAGTGAGATTGGTTTATTGTAAACAAATCAAGATAACCTACTTTACCCTTTTCTGTATACTAGTAATTATGCACGGGATCAATTCTAAGTACAATTTTTTAATGACTAAAACACGACGATGAGGTAAATCAAACACTTTTATGAATGAAAAGAGAATGTTAATCGGCATGGGAGTAATATAAAAAATGAAAATATTTTTTAGATAAAATAATCGAACGAAAACTTTGAATAGTTGATATATATTACGATATAATCTAAAAAGTTTAAAAACAATAGCAATTCCATTTGATTTAAGTACCGATATAAACAAAGTACATGACAAAAGAAAATATGAAATACCAAAATTGTGATATAAAAATTAAGATACATTATTTGATCCAAATTGTACAACTTTCTCGTCCAATACACTCGTATCCTTAACATAAACTTAATTCTCCAAGTAGTGATTTAGAGCACATGCATTAACATCGCTTATAACTCTATTTGCGAGGAACATGCACATTTTTCGTTGTTCAATTGCAATCAGTGATACACATTACTGAAACATAATCACCTAAAAGTGTAAAAAGTAAATACAATTTGTACTAAATCACCTTTATTTAAAAAAAACAAATTCAGTGGAGTATGCAATAAAATTAGCATAAAGTGCAAATAAACTAACACGGAAAAATAATTATACAAATAAAAAATACAAACAACAAATGTATATTTGAATCACAATATACAATTTTCTGATGTACATTTATATTCCCTGAAAAACTTCGTAGTACACATTATTGTAAGTAATATTAGTCGTCTATTCCTGCTTGATGAATATTTTTATGCCACCTATACTCTTAACTCTCCATATTACTACGTATAATAGTCCATGCCACCTCTACTCTTAACTCTCCATATTGCGACGTATAATAGTCCATGTCACCTCTAATACTATATTAATATTCATCTAATACTAATACTAATATTAATACAAAAATCAATATTAATACTAAAATCATTACTAAGAGCAACTCCAATGCAAGAACTAAATGAAGTATCAAACTAAAAAACTATCACTTTGATACTCCAAAATTAACAAATCCTTCTCCAATGGAGGCAATAAAGTGATATTTATTTTGATACTCAACCACCCGAGGTGCAAAAATGCTCCCTGAAAAATGAAGTATCAAATATATAACCACTCCACTAATCTATCATTATTTGACATGTGGTATTTAAAAATATAATTATTAATATATTTAAAATTTGATAATCTATTTGATACTTGTGGTTGGAGTGAATTTTTTTTCTAAAAGTATCAAACTATTATATCAATTATCAAATGAATATTTAATGCTCCATTTTGATATCTCCCATTGGAGTTGCTCTAAGACTAATATAAATATTAATACCAATACTAATACCAATGTCCAATATCAATACCAATACCAATACCAATACCAATATCAATACCAATATCAATATCAATGTCAATACCGATACCGATACCGATACCAATACGAATACCAAGACTAATACTCATACTCATACTCATACTCATATACTCATACTCATACTAATAATAATATTCATATTCATACACATACACGTACGAATACTCATACTAATATCAATATTAATACCAATACTAATACCAATACATATACCAATGCTAATACCCCAATACTAATAGTAATACTAATATTAATACTAAGCCGAGTCTTCTTGACTTTTTGAGTGTTCTGCTTTATCCGATGTTTTAGCAGCCGCCACCTAATACTGATATTGATACTAATATTAACACCTATTCTAACACATTACTAATACTAATACTAATACTAATACTAATACTAATACTAATACTAATACTAATACTAATACTAATACTTATACTTATACTTATACTTATACTTATACTTATACTTATACTTATACTTATTTGAATCGAATTT